CGCACCGATGGAAAAGGTTTACAGCGATATTTTGATTATGCCTCGAGACGACAGTGAAGCAGAGTTCAACTACGTTATAACGTTCATCGACGCAGCAACACGATACGTCTAGCACTTCAACCTCAAGACTTCTTACCAAGCGTTCGAAGCCTTCACGACATGCCTGCCCATCGCTGAACGAGAATCGGGCTCCCAACTCAAGAGTTTCCAGTCAGACGGGGCAATGGAGTATCAGTCACAAAGGTTCAGGAGCTACTTGGCGGAAAAAGGCATCAAACGCCTGGTGTCCCTGCCCTACGCTCACCAGCAGTAGGGGGTTGCAGAGAGGATGAATCGCACCTTGCAGACGACGATGCGGAAGCTGCTCCTGGGGATGGGACTGCCCAACACCCTTTGGCCTGACGCGATGACGCATGCAGTCCACCTCCACAACTTGCTGTCCTCGTCATCACTTCCCAACAGCGCATCACCGCACCTGCTATGGATAGGAAAATAGGGCAGCACAAAATTACTTTGAGTTTTTGGCTGCATGGTATAGTACAAACCCCACACAGCTCGAGCAGGACAATTTTCTCAACGAGCACGGTGGGGACTACACCTCGGCATCGCAAAATATTTTCATGCATGGAAACTTCTCGACATCCAGGAGAAAAACACCGTGGCCTCACGTGGTGTGATTTTCTACGAGAGACTAAAGCTGCAGCATTACCTGGACAACGTCGCCAACACCGCGGACCCCACCGACGGCTTCGAGGGCCATCGGTCCTTTGCCGACCGTGCTGCCGAAGCTGACGCAGCAGAAGAAGACGTACCTGAAGCCTCGGACGTTGCCGGACCACTCCCTTACTGCTCCGTGCCCGTTCCACTCGACGACGACAACACTCTCGATAGTAACAACCTCAACACCTACTACCACTTCGCTGACCAGGGCTACACTACACCTCAACCGGTCGACACAAATGTCTCTGAACGCATCGGACCGAATTTCTTACATGACCTCGAAGATGGCGACGAAGCAGCTTATCCCGGGGATGAAAATTCTCCTTGACACACACCCACGGGCTTGCAGATACTTGGATTATGGGTCGCCGTCTACAGGCCGCCGCCGCCGTCTCCGCGCGAGCCAACGACTCTGTCGCAGGCTCTGGGGGGGGGAACACAAGGCAAAATGGAAGGAAGCAATTGAAAAGGAACTGAAGGCTCTGCAAGACCGAAACACATTGAAACTAGTCCCTGCAACAAAGACCAACGGGCGGAATGTGCTCTCGGGGAAGTGGGTGTACCGAATCAAGACTAATGCGGATGGCTCCATCGACCACTTCAAAGCTCGCTGGGTCGTACGTGGATTCGATCAGCAATACAAAACCGACTACACGGAGACATTCGCCCCAGTCTCCCAACATACCTCCCTGCGCATTCTACTCGCCGTCGCGGCCACGAAAAAATTACCACTGCGTCAGATCGACGTCGCCAACGCCTTCTTGTACGCACCTGTGGACGCTGAGATCTTCGTTGAGCAGCCCCACGGTTTCATCGACGATCCCACAAAAGTGTGCCAGCTGATAAAATCCATCTACGGAATCAAACAAGCCCCGCAGCTCTGGCACCAGCACCTTCATGGCCGCCTCGTCAAGATCGGCTTTCTGCAGCTGCCGCACGACCAAGGGATGTACCGACTGCAGAAGGGGAGCGATTTTGTCCTACTCATCGTCTACGTCGATGACCTGCTCTACGTCGGCTCCACAACCAATGTCGAAACCTGGTTCAAAGGGTAGCTGAAGAGTGACTTAACACTCACGGTGTCAGACACCGTCACCCAATATCTAGGGCTGAACGTTGTCGAAGACGAATCGGCGTTCTACCTACACGCCGGAAAGTACGCAGGCGTCATCGCGAAGAAATTCAGACTAACACCGATCGCAGCCGCAACTCCCTATCGCTACGGGAACGACAACAGCGACACCTCTGCGAAGCTCCCGACTAAGCAAATCCAGGAATACCAACAGAAGCTCGGCTGCCTCCTGTTCGCAGCAGTAACCTGCAGACCGGATCTGTCCTATAGGGCTAGCCAACTAGCGACACACCTAAAGCAGTCGGGGCAAGCGCATATCGAGGAGCTGAATCAGGCATTGCTCTACTTTGTTTCTACGCCGACAGTCGGACTCACCTACAGCAAAGTAACACCAACGTCCATGCAGCTACTCGACCATGTCAACGCCGACCACGCGGGACACAAGGAAAATCGGCGTTCCAGAACAGGCTACATCTACCGACTAGAGCCTATCGGGACTATTTCCTGGCAATCGGCTAAGCAGGAATTAATCGCGCTATCCTCGGCTGAAGCGGAATACATCCCTCTCTACTCTGCTACCAAAGAGGGACTTTACCTGCAGGAGCTGCTCGAGGAAGCAAAAATTGCGACCAAGCCCACCTTCTCGTTATTCTGCGACAACCAATCCGCGATTAAAATCGCGAGCAAAAACGGGTTCGACAATCGAACAAAGCACATCGCCCTGCGGTATTTCTTCGTCAAGGATGAGATCGCTAAGGGGAGACTTCAACTCAGTTACTGCCCCACAACAGAAATGGCTGCAGATTATCTGACGACGAAACTGGCGAAGGCAAAGTTCGACTACTGCATGCTGCTGACCGGGCAGATAAACGTCACCGAATCCAGACACGTCGGCACTCCAGAAACGAAGGGGAGTGTTGGAAATACCTCGAGAACTTAAGCGTTTCTGAAGTGTAACACTACACTCGAGGAAAGTCGTATTGGGTGCGCGAGTCAACTGAGGTTACACGAGGAGGTTGGACGAAAGAACACGAAAGGGCGAAGGAACTCGAAGGGCCGCAACCGGAGGTCGCGATTGACCGTTGCGACTGCAAGGGTGGTAACGGAACTGACAATCCAGTCGCTGTGCGACTCGATAACTGTTCCTTCAACTGTATTCTACAACTGCATCATTTCTTACTTTCTATATATTGCTGTATGCTTGTTTCGTTTAATCACTCACTTGCTCTCACATACTAGTGCAAGGGTTCAACTACTCAACACTTCCGCTGCACTACTCAAGCATTTCATACAAGTGGGACTTAGTCTCTGAAAAGATCCTAGGGATTTTCTCAGACCAACAGAGCACAAGGCGAATTCCTTAGAAACTTGGGCACAACCCGTTTGCCTTGAACCTTGGCTCACTTGGGAGGCCACATGGGGGGCATGGATAGGAGAATTCTGGAATATTTTGATTTAGCCGATTTTGTGGTGTAGAGCTCCTCGACCTTTCCGGAACTTCCAGCTGAAACATCTCCCGAGCTGTAGCGAGGTTTTGGCTGCAACTTGATTGGCTGCGGAATCTTCCGTCACTTTGCGAATTCTCCAATTTCGTCACCAGCAATTTTCCCCCTGCTGCTGATTTCGTGCAAAGGGCTGGGGCGCCAGATTCGGTGTTAGGGCGTGTCTAGCGCGTTCGTTTACTATTCACTTTGCATATCAGGTACAAAATTTTGACCTGGTAACCCGACATTTCGTGTCCATTCGGACTCGCACGATAAATTGACGGTTTTGGCGGACACCTTCCAAACGTGTCCATAGACGTGGGCCATACGTTTCCGAACTGAATGAAAACCGTGCGCAAATTATGTACACGGCAGAAATGTCCAAATCCTGGCTGGCGAATAATGGAACGCTGTTATTCGCCAGGCTTGTAATGCGTGTTCGCCCTCCCGGGTGGGGCCTCTTTCCCGGGGCGAAATTCGGTTACCCTGCTGTTTTCGCGTCTCAGTCTGTTATGTGCGCGCTGCGCACCCGCTCATTTGTCGAGCCACAGGCGGGGCTCGTGTCCGCGCGGGTTTAAAAAACGTTAAAAATTCGTGTTGGGGCAAAATGAACGCGCTGGACACGCCCTTAGGAGAATGACTGCCGTGGACTATCCAGAAAGTTTTCATCCTTCCGTGGACAGCCGGTCGAAGTTTTCCTTTCCCCATGGAGATGTCAACACTTTCGTCGACTGCGGGCATACTTCCATGGAACCCCGCTCATTTGCAGTTAAAATGCATAAAAAGAACCGTACAAGTGGGGACGGGTGAGGAGAACAAAACAGACACTGCGTGCGTCGCAAGGCATTGTGAGGTACAGCGCTCGCATGCCGAATCCCAAATGAAATGTTACAATTTCTCTGTGGCACACACTATCGCGCAAAAAAGTAGAGTCACATGACCGCGCTAAAATCCACTTTTGTTTATCAGAAAACGAGTGTTCAAACACTTTTTCCGAGGTAGAAGAGCTAGCGTTGTATGTACACAAGTGTTTTCCAGTTGTAGTAAATTTGTTCTTTTGTTTGTGAAACTCATGAATAAAAATATATATATTCTGATCAAGCTAAGGAAATCATGTAGGTGTTTGATCATATTGTTTTTAGTAATGTCTACAAATATTCATATTACTAGCAGTTAGCATTAGTTATAGTTACTACAGATGTTGAAAGCCTATTTTGCTAGATATATAGCATTTTTATATGCTCTGATAACGAGAGCTCACTGGGCGTAAGGAAATGGTATTTCCTTATCACAAGTTTTAGTTAGTAAAGCTTACACTACTATAACGGTGTTGCCATACAGCTCCGCCACGAAATTCAAATCGCAGTACCCAAATGTGGCCTTCTGACGAGCCACATGCATTTTGCCCGCCTTGTTGTTTTATGCCTAGATCTCGCTTCACGCCAATTTACGAACCACACATCGCAGCTCTGCCGAGCCACAATCATGTGCTCTAGGCTAACTATATTCATGCTCCTTGCTGTTTTGATGTTGCATCAGCTGTATTGTTTCCCTCGCTACTCAACTATTCGATACACGCTCTTTGCGCTTTATTACACTTGGCCATCAGAGCCAACGATCCTCAGCCTTGCGCTCTAGTTCCACTGCAATATCGACACTTAGGGAGGCTGACGCCGTGTGCTTACTGCATGTCCGCTGTCTTCGTAATATTAATCGATAATTACCTACAGCCACAAATGTGTTTGCAGTGCCAACGTGCCGAAAGCTGCCCAAAGCTTTCCGCGAAATGGTGGATCCATCGTCGCCTAACGCCATGACTCCTGAAGAAAGGGCGACAGCACTCGAAGAAGTTTGTCTCACTCTTCAGTTGTATCTGCAGGAGTTGGCGCGTCTACGAGTTGAAACGGCCCAAACTGAATCCAAGATATCTACAGTGCGCAGCCGATTGCCTTAGACATGACACGACAGGATTACGCCAACGACAAACCAATGACAACAGGAGAAAGTAACCCAAGAACGTTCCGAAATACCTGGCGACAATCAGCGACCACATACGACTTCGCCCGAGGGATCGACGAACAATCCGCCACGAGTAATTGGACGAACGGAAGTTGGCAAAGAGGCGAACATCAACCCGCCGCCCCCACTTACCTCTTCCACCACCCTGTAAACTGCAAATGTCAACATGGCACCAGGAATCCTCAAGATGCAGAGGTCGCCCACATTCGACACAAGCCAGTATGGCAGCTTGTCAATTAGTGGGTGGATTTTTCACCTGAACGTTTTCTATGACTTCAACCTTTATCATCGTCGATGCGCAAAGAATCTAATATGCAGTTTTGCTCCTACATGGACCAGTAATGGATTGATGGCAGCAAATATTTCAGTCGCAGGAGTCGAATATGACGCCATTCGTGATCGGGCGTTTTTGCACAACCAATCACAAGGCAGGAAGCTATTGCGAGGCGGACGAATACAACAGTGGCAATCGTGGTGCGCAGGAATTCATCGTCGTTTTGAACACGTCAACGTAAGCAGTCAAGCGCGCGACCGGCTGCGCACGTGGCGCCAACTCGGATCGGTCCAGGACTACCAAAGTAGCTTCAAGAATCTATGTGACTAGGTTGGCTATATTCATCATGACGAGAAGTTTGACAGATACATTGGGGGACTTCGACCGGATCTGTGCAAAGAAATACACGCCAGGGAGATTACGGGTTTGATGGGGGCGCAGAGGGTTGCGGAGCAATTGGATTCGTTCTTCAAGCCAAGGGCGGGTTCCTAAGACGGAATTCGCACTCGGGGACCAATCGAGCGTGCCACCGTACACGATGGTACAACATGCAAAGGTCGTTGTTTCGGGTGTAACAGGCCGAGACACCGCAAGGCAAAATGCCCAGAGGAGCGGAAGAATTGGAATCAGGGGCACGGGAGTTCAAGCAATTAGGGAAACGCTTAGTATTAATAGTTACTACCGATGGAACATGCTCGCCCATGACCAATGACCCTCATCAAGTACTGGTACCGATCCATCCAATCAACCAAACTCGGTTGAATAAGGAGGGTGCAACGACGGATTACCCTATTTATTTAGAGGGTAGGGTTTAAGGAAAAAAAACATCTTCGTGGACGGGGGAGCCACCCACAGTGTGATCAACCTCGCTACGGCAAAAAAAAATGAAGTTACCCTCAGATAGGTGTTTACCGGAGATCGATGCCCGACTAATCGACGAGACCCCATTAGCAATGAAAGACCTGATGGAAAAGATAAGGGTACGATGTGGAGCTAACTTCAAATTTTCGATGGGGATCTTGGCAACTACACTCGACGGATTCGACATGCTGCCAGGGCGGAATTGGCAGCGACATTTCAATTCGAAAATCGACTGGACGACCGGCAGATGATCTAAAAAAAACAATGGCCGTGGGGTAGTGCTACCTGAATGGGCGAAGGGGAGCACATGAGGAGTGATGCAGGTGAACTTCGTAGTGATAAAACATGTGGTCGCACGGGGAGCAGAAGTCGTCGTTGTAGTCATTCGCGCAGTTGACGTGGCATCACAGGCGTCTGATTTAGAGAATCTGACAATAGCAGTGCCGGCCGAACTTGCAAAACTGATTCGCAGATTTCCGCAGATTTTTCTAGATGACCTGCCCAAGGGATTACTACCGGAAAGGCCCTTCGACCATCGAATAGAATTAGAACCGGAGATACATCTCACAGTTCAGCGGCAATTTTGACGGACACAGCCAGAGTTAGAGGTATTACGGAAGGAGTTCAATTACTTACTTAAGGAAAAAAACATCCGTCCGAGTTCATCCCCTTTCGCCGCCCAAATATTGTTCACCCCGAAGAAGGACAGCACATACCGAATGTGTACAAATTACAAAACAATGAACAGGGTGACCATCAAGTCACGTTACACCATCCCCCGCACTGACGAACTAATCGACCAACTTCGCAAATCTCGCTTCTTCTCGAAAAAATTATTTCTGATGGGGTTACCACCACATTCGTGTAGTCGCAATTGATTGTCACAAAACTGCGTTTCGTACTAGGTACGGGAGTTTCGGGTACATGCCCTTCGGACTGACCGACGCCCCAATGACTTTTCAAATTACCATGAACCAGATCTTCAGTTCGCTTGTAGAAAAGTCTGTTCAGGTTTACCTAGATGACATCCTGATTTACAACGAGACTCAGGACCTCGAAGCATTTTTAACGCTGCTACAGGAGCATCAGCTTCTCATAAAGGGGTCTACAAGTGCAACGTCTTAAAAGACGGCGTAGAATTGTTAGGTCACGTAATTTCCACTAAAGGCAAAGTCAACCCGCGGAAGATCGAGACGGTGCAAGCCTGACTACCGCCTACGAGCCTGCAGGAGCTGCAAAGTTTTTTGGGGTTCGTCAATTACGTTAGAAAATTGATCCCGATATGGCGGGGGTAACTGCACCACTGACTGACCTGATGTAGAAAGGGACAGAGTATAGGTTGATGGAGATAGAGCAAGCTGCTTCCTCCACGCTCAAAAGTTTTCTCTGATCAGGCCCTGTCCTTCGCATCGCTGATCCTCACCGCACATTCGAAGTCGTCACAGATGGCAGCTGTCACAGGATCCGATGAGGTTTGCTCAATGTTGCACTATCAATCAGTACAAGGAGCTTTTATACTACCAGAGTACATCAGGTAACCTGGTTTATCATATCCAAAGGGAATAGACCCTTCTAGAAACAGATTCACCCTGCATATAGCCACAAGAGGCTATTGGTTATAAAGGATTACGCTAGATATAGCGCGCCAATACATCCTGAGCCTGGTCGGTGATATAATTATAATAACGGGATAAACCAAAGGATAATGGAAAAGAAGGAATAGGAAACCAAATGAGATGAGATAAAGACCAAATGAATCAGGGTATAAAGAGGAATGAAATAGAAAGGAAATGTGGAAAGGGGAAATTCGTGTAACGGGGTCGTACTCTCACACTTCCCCCCCTCAAAGCTGGGTGGTAAAAGTAACACCCTGCTTGACAAGGTACTGGCGAAGAGGACGACGGGCATTACCCATGTCGAATTCAGAAACACAACCTCAGAAGTATCATAACCCTTCCAGCAAATAAGAAGCGACAGAGTGCCAATCTGACGACGACGGTGTCCGGGCACGTAGTTGTGCTATGGCGTGGATGAACACGGGCAGCGACGGTAGTTGGCATTCGGTGTAGAGCGTGCTTCGTCTTGATAGGGTTTAAGAAGCTGGTATGGAAGGCTTTATGGATCTTCCAAGTGGCTGGTAGGCGGAAGCGGAAGGTGATTGAAGTGACATCTGCGTCAACGAGGATAGACCCGCAGAAGCAAGGTTAAAGCTTGGATGGAATATGGCTGATGTCGAGATTATGGTGTGGACAACTTCAGTGATGAGCAGCCAAGTGCTTCTGCTGCTGTTGGATGTCCAAGTGGCACTTGTGTGGCCGATCTTTTGAGATGGTGGACGATGGCGATGAAATTGTAAGCCATTTGGACTATAGCAAGAACTACCTATTGCTACGGAGTGAGTGAGCTCCGTCCACGGCAAGGAAGGATGGTGTGTATCGCCGTCAGTGATATATGGGCAGATGCAAGTTGTAGTTGGAGATGTGAATGGTTGGAATAGTTTGCTATAACGTGCAGATGAATGGCTATGTTGTCCAATCTGTGCATGCTGTTACCTGCATCTGGCCAACGTGTGAAGATCACGAAGTGTTGGTGGTATGGCAATCGTGTCATAGTACTGCTTCTGTAGCAATGTTGTATCCGATACATGCACCTTCTGCCGAATGCTAGTCCATGCCTGTAGTGTTATCGCGAGTTGTACCCTCTCGGCATCGTTGTGCTGCGGGAATGGAGAGCAGAATCACTAGTAGTAACCCTGTCCACCATGCGGTCTGCTAGTCACACTGCCTTGAGTACAACAGCGCATGCGAAGTACTGCTCGGCGTATCCCTTGTGTTCAGAACCATGCGAGGGGTTGGCACCATAAGCGCATAGCTGGTAACTTCCAGAATCGGTGCCAAGTAGTTTCCCTCGGTGGTTGCTCAAGCAAGGAATCTCAGTTGCGTAGATATCCCATAGTGATGGGTTAGGAAATGTGGGAATATTAGGGGTATTCCCATATAAGCATTGGTGACAGCCAATCGAGTATGACCTATGCAATTCCGGTTTAGCAAGGAGGCCATCGGTAAGCATCGGTGTCTGGGTGCACATATTGGGATAGGTCTTTTGGTGCCATCATATGTTGTCTCATTCTGTCACTGTCCTTGAAGTAGCGTTAATGTCGAAGACGACTCAGCTACTGAGCATCAGTGTTGAAGTCTGCTCCATTTCGGCAAACAGGGGTGTTGTTGGAGATACGTGGGGTCCACTATCCGGAGTGGCGTCGGCGCTCCATTTTACGCATGTCTTCTCCGTGAAGGTGGTGCTGGTAATAGATTGGTTTGCGACGCAGGTTTTATGGCTTTAAGAAAGCCATAGGCCATGAGGACTTGTATACCAGTAGATTACCGTAGTCCTCCCGTCCTCATAAGAGCAAAAATCTCCTGCTCTTGAGGGTATATGGCATTGCCATATCAATTCCAATGCATCGTGGTATCTCCTTCCCACTAGCCTCAAGAATTATCCATCAGGGTTTGGATATGACTGTTGTGTCGAGTCTTCTGCTGCGGTGGCGGTGGCGATTGCGACGATGGCGACGGCGGCGGCGATTGCGACGATGGCGACGGCGGCAGCTGCTGCAGAGAATTCTCTTAACTCGTAATGGTTGAAGGAGAATCCATCAACTCCCTCATCCCAACAGAGTTTTCCTGATGGGTGTAATAGGCGTAACTACCAGGAACACGTGCACATTGGTACACATGGGTTGCTACATTGGTGCCGGTGATGGTTTCATTTGAGGGTGTGAAGAGAAATTTGCTTCTTCCCTCAATGTGTCTGCGGGTAGCAATTCCTGGTATGCTCATCTGTGCCTCTGATGTACGGTCGGTAGAGCGCGTGATCGTGTTGTAGTAGTCCGCATCTCCCTCATTTGTTAACACCTCGTGTTGCTTGGCGTTCTCCCGCATCATCGAAGTTACACTGGTGCTTGTAACGCTTCGGCTTCTGGTAGAATCGGCTCCAATGCATGTGCCGTAGGGTCGCTAGTGAACGAGTACTTGCTGGATTTGAGGTTAATTACTTCTCAATCTGTCAAGCATCGTGACATGCACGGAAAAAAAATCCACGCAGGTCATTAACACCTGGAATCGCGACGCATGATTGGTGTGTCGCCTCGTGAGGTTGATGTTGAGACTGCTTCAAATAATCACTTCGGATGGCTGAGATTCTTGATGAAGACGAATCGATCAGCTCCTGTTACGAAGTATTGTCTCGCTGGCCTTGACGAGGCGGGTTCACTGCGTCGTCGTTGCGTGCGAAATCTGCTCCTTCGCAGCAACTTGAATTTGGGAGAATTACAAGAGAAAACGGCTACCTCCCTGCAATCCCATAGCTTGTCGATCAATTTATCTGAAGAAGTGTCTCATGGATGGAGAACATGTCTTCACGCAGCTTCATTGTTTTTCTTGGATGAAGATCTGCTGTGTTGATATCGATCAATTTTTAACGAAAATGGCTTCGTCAGAAAATGCACCGATTGTGCAGTCGCTGGTCACGAATTTTGTCTCCATGATGATGATTTTTTACAGTGTTGTCTCCGCTGCATTCGTGCCATTGATTCCGCACCTATCCGACGATCGACGTTCTCATGCCAGTTTTCTGTTTGCAGCTATTACCAAGTAGGTAATTTGTTGGCAGATTTCTGACTCTACAGATGACTTGCACGCCAAATTCGTGACCAAATGGAGGAATCCGAAGCTGGTTGTCCAGATGATGTGAGCGGTGTCGAAGGTGGCTGCTTCGTGGTACTTCGCATCATTCTCCCTTCGTGCAGAAGTCGCGCTCCATCTCGTGCGTTGAAGCAGAAGTCGATCCGACGGTCCAAAATCCAAGCGATCCGAAGATTTTCCTGAGTCGCGCTCAGCAGCTTTCGGTGCCCGGGTTGACTCGTTTCCTGCAGCAATTCTCGGTCGTCGATGTTGGCTGTCGAACGATCGGACGCTCCGAAGAATTTCGCATCTTGCCAGGTCCCGCTTCCATTCGCGCTGTAACTTGAACTCGCTCAAAAGGATGTCGTTTCGCCTCGGTCGATCTGAAGCGTCGAATCTCTATCGGACGAATGTCGTCGGTCGCAGGTCTGCACATTTCCGCGCAACTCCAAGAGTCGTGGCGAACTGCGAACATCTCGGAATGTCACAGGGAGTGTTCCGCCAGAACTGACGCATTCGCGAGGTCGAGGTCATTTTCCCCCGCGAAAAAATCGGCCCTGTCGATGCAGTCTATCAAACGGTTGGCGAGGCATCTCGCCTTTGAAGGGGACCCCAGGTGCAACTGCGCGGCGTTAGTCGAAACTTGATATGAAATAGCACTGTACTTATAGGAACTGAAGTTTCGACTCCATCCTCGGCGTGATCCTGAGGGCCCAGCGGTTAAGCGTTGAGCTGAAACCTTAGCTCTGATTACCAAGTGTCATAGGATCGAATGAGGTTTGCTCAATGTTGCACTATCAATCAGTACAAGGTGCTTTAATACTACCATAGTATATTAGGTAACCAGGTTTATCCTATCCAAAGGGAATAGACCCTTCTAGAAACAGAATCACCCTGCGTATAGCCACAAGAGGCTATTGGCTATAAGGGATTACAGCGGGATTACGCTAGATATAGCGCGCCAGTACATCCCGAGCCTGGTTGGTGATATAATTATAATAACAGGATAAACCAAAGGATAATGGAAAAGAAGGAATAGGAAACCAAATGAGATGAGATACAGACCAAATGAATTAGGATAAAAATAGGAATGAAATAGAAAGGAAATATGGAAAGGGGAAATTGGTATAACGGGGTCGTACTCTCACAGCAGCGACATCGCCATCGGAGCAGTACTGTTACAGGACTTCAGCGAAGGCCTACAACCAATTGTGTACGAGTCACGAAAGTTACACCCCCCCGAGCGAAACTACCGGATACGCGACAAGAAGATGCTCGCAATCGTGCATGCCTTCAAGGTGTGGCGTTGCTACTTGACGGGTGCAGACGTGACAGGGTGGGCGGACCATCGTAGCCTACAGTACATTTACGCACAGCCACTGCTCAACCTACGACATATCATGTGGTTGGGTTTTATGGAATCCAACTTCCACTGTACTGTTGCATACCCCCTTTCTCGCCCATCCGCCCACCTCAACTCTCTAATCCTCGCCCAAAATTCCCCGCTCTTAATATGTCTATTTACCCACGGGTACCAGACAGACAAATTCTTTACGTCGGATGCGTACGAAGAGCTTGCAACAGCTAAGAGAGTCGATTACGTAAAGACAGGGACTGACCGCATCTGGGTACTTATTAGGGGAGTTTCTACTACGAGAAGCCCACAACAACACAGTTTTAGGGCACTTCGGAGTGGAGAAAACACGACAACAGTTGACCAGATATTACTTCTACAGAACCTGCCAAACCATGACATCGTCGAAGCAGAAGCCAGCTGGACAGTTGCAGCCGATTCCGCCGCTTGAGCGTGCATGGCAGCAAGTAACGATAGACTTCATTATGGGACTGCCTGCCAAGGACGGCTGTAATGACGCGATATTTGTCGCCGTCGATAAGCTGAAAAAGATGGCTCACTTCGCCGCCTGTAAGAAATGCATCTCAACCGAAGAATCAGCCCGCCTTTTTATCACGACCATCGTTTGCCTCCACAGAATCCCATTCGCCATCATTTCGGATCATGACACAAGATTTACCAGCAACTTCTGGCGCAACCTCTGGGAACAGTTTGGCTCGCGCTTGCAATTCTCCTCTGCCTACCACCCCGAGACTGACGTGCAGATTGAATAGGTTAATCGGATGATGTAGCAGCTGATTTGCGCCACCTGCGATGACATGGCCGACCGGCAGCAGCAACTGCCACTGATTGAGTTCGCGTATAATAATGCCTCGTTAGCCACTACTCGGCAGTCACCATTCTACTTGAAATCACGGATAAAATCGTACAGTACCGATCACGCCCAACATCGAGCCCAACAGTTCGCCGAAATATTATAGAATGCCCGGGAGCGAGCAGCCGAAGTCATTAAGCACGCAAATGTTATTTCTAAGCCCAATGCTGATCTACACTGACGATCAGTGACTTACTTGGCTGGAGACTAAGAACTGCTCAACACTTAGAATCTTCGACTGCCCATCGTCCCAAAACTTTGCCCTCATTACTGCGGACCATTTACAATGAGCCATATGATATCCTCCTTTACAACCCATATCCTCCTTTACAATTCCATACCTTGGAGGCCGCATGCATTTTGCCCGCCTTGCTGTTACATGCCTAGATCTGGACGCTTCGCACCAATTTACAAACCATACATTGCAGCTCTGCCGAGCCTCGATCGTGTGCTCTAGAGCGGGTCTTCACAATTGCACCAACAGAGAATTAACTTGCCACACTAGGTAGAGCTCAGCGACGCAGAAGACGGAAGGGTCAACATAGCGGACGAAGAAGAAGGACGTGAGGTTAATCTCCTAGCCGTGCGCGCTGCGGGGAACCATCCACTCACCGCCGTCATGATAGCTATTCATCATCGCTGTCGTCTGCAGTACGTGTTGGCGGTGTTCCTCCATTGCCGCTCCATGCGCGGGGTGGACATCAAAACGCGAGGACGCCCTCTCGAGGCGGTCGATGACCGATGCCTCGCGAATGTCAAAGACGACGCGCAGGTCGCGGGGAGCCAATCCGGTTGACTTCGCATAGCCGATAAGCATCTCTGTCACCATGCGTGAGAGATGGCGGCTGTTGCGGAGGTCGTTGTCGAGGGGTGAGGGTGGGCCGGCGTTCGCGTACCAGCATGCCCAAAGGCTCGAGCGCCAATGGATCGGCTCCACCCGGCTCGGATGTCTAAGCATCTGCGTCGGTCGTCATGTAGCGAATGGCCGACAGCATGTCGTCTAGCCCAAAGGAGAGATGATCAATGCAATCGAGCACCGGGGCGAACTCCGCCTCGAGGTTGTGCTCCTGTTTGGCAGGAGTGGCGCCGATGAGGGTGAGGGGCGGCAAATTTTGGAGAAGGAGAAGCGTCGGTGTGGACGATGCACAAGATGCACTGAGCACTGGACACTGCTGGGGTGAATGGCGCCAAGGGTACAACGTGTGCTCGGAGCTTATCGGGGAGGTCATCCAGCCGTTCTTGTTAGCGCGCCAGTAGCAATCTTGCGATGGGTCGAAGTTCTGCTTTGCGAAGCAGTTTGGGCATTCGTGCTTGTGAATAATGAGCGGCTTGAAGTACTTCGAGCCGTCCGCATTCAGAAGGACCAAAAAGGCTGCAGGTCAGCTAGGGTAGCACGCAGCGTGTCATGCCCATCATGGGGCGCCTGTCGCAGGCCGTAGACTGGCCGCAGAAGTAGCCAATGGGTCACAGGAGAGAAGGTACCAGTAAAGCAATGAGGGCAGCGCAGGTAGACGTGCTCGTGTAGGCTGCCCTGAAGAAACAAAGTGGAGAAGTCGAGGGAGTGTAACTCGTAGTCACGCTGTGCTGCTACGTGTAGCAGCCCCCGAAGAGTAGTCATCTTCAGGGCTGGGGCGAAGGTGTTAAAGAAGTCCATCCCTTCACGCTGACTGAAGCCTCTAGCCACATAGCACGCCTTGAACACAGGCGACTCTCCAGGGGGGCACTTCACCTTGAAGAGCCACCAGCCATCGACTACGTTCACCCCAGGTGGAGGAAGTGCGTCGACGTAGGTGCCGGTGGATCTCCAAGATGCCATCTCCTGTTCCATGGTAGCTATCCACTGAGAGGCCACGGTCCCAAGGTCGCCTCAGCGTAGGTGCGAGGGGTTGGGATATCAAAAGCGTGTGGGTCACCCTTCGGGACTAGCAGCATGGAACAAAGATGGGGAACAGCCTCAGACAGGAAAGCAAGCTCGTACTGCCGGTCCTCCAGGACGTCACTGCTGAGGGCAGGAGCACCCTCGACGGACAGAGGGCAGGCAGGGTCAAAGACCATAGCGGTGGCGTAGTCAAGGCGGCGAGTAGACGCGAAGTCAGCGATAGCAGCGACAAGAGCGTGAAGACGCGAAACAGGAACAGACGGGTCTGTAACGAGAGAGGCAAAGACCCGAGGAACAAGAGGACGAGCTGCACAAAGGTAGTCAGACAGAGGGGGAGGCCTGACAACAAGTGAAGACGGAGGAGGCGACGGTAGAAGGGGGGGACGAGACCCGTTAAAACGAAGCAACGTAGGGTGAGAGCACTAAACAAGAGAGACAGGACGAGCACGAGAAGGACGGCGAGACCAGACGTGAGATAGAGGCGTCTGGTCAGGAGACAAATGAGGAGACACAAGAGGGGAATGCGGGGGAAGACGAGCTGGAGACGAGTCCGGAGGAAGGAACACAGGGCCGTAGACAGGAAGGGGAGGAGGCGGCGGGGGAGGAGCAGACGAGCGGGCAGGGGAGGGAAGGCCGAGCAGGCGAAGGGCGGACACCGGTAGCGACTGCTGTTGCTGCTGCCCAATGCCGACACCTGGACCGCCAGCTGGACCACGGTTACCTCCGGAACACTCCACTCCAGCACCCCCAGAAGTAGCACCCCCAGAACCAAGAACCTCTCCAACACCGGCACCACCCCCAGGCCCACCGGTACAAGCCACGATACGAACCCCAGGACTAGCACCCTCCTCAACGCCAGCACCCCCAGCGTCCACGAACAGCTGCTGCTGCGGCGGCGACGACGGCTGCGGCTGTGACGACGGCTATCGCGGCGGCGACTGCGACGGCGGAGGAGGAGACACTGGGGGAGGGGCTGGCAGCAAGAACTGCCCCGCAGGGCCATCAGAGTTAGCAGACTCCTCGGTAGGGACAACCGACATGAGGGGGGTGATGTGAGACACATTAGACGGGGTAGGGCGGGGAGGGGGAGGAGCAGGGGCGATCGGGGGAGGGGGAATCAGGAACTGGGGGGGAGTTACCGGGGGACCACGTTGGGGAAAGCGGTGGTAGAAGGAGACGGACTCGTCAAGGTGACGTCGCGAGAGTGAAAGAAACGGTGAGACGGCAGGTGGTAGGAGTGCTAGTCAGACGAGTCGAGGGGGAAACTTAGGATAACACAAGGGACTGTGCGGGCAGTGAGCTTGTCCGTACAAGAGGCACGAACGTGAGCAAGGCAGCCCTAGACGTGGAACGCAAAGCGTCACGAGGAGACCCGTTTTAGGGGAGGGTGTGCGAAACCTGCGGCCGCTGAGGGTGCGGCCACAGGTTAAGCTGGTGGACGGCGTAGCGAACGGCGAACGGCGTAGCGAACGGCGAACGGCCACAGAAAATGGGGTGCACTGGCATGGATCATGGAGGTACGAGCCACCTCCATGACCAAACCTATGCGTCGCCTAGCGACCCCATTCTGCTGCGGGGAGTTTTTAGGGGGTGAACGCATGGGTGATGCCCTCCGCACGACAGAAGCGACCAAGGCAGCCAGAGGCGAACTCGCCACCACGGTCGGAGTGAAGACGCAACACAGGGAGACCGCGGTGCACACGCAAAGAGACAAGCCACGGGATAACAACGTCAGGCACGTCGGCCTTCAGCTCCAGGGGAAACACGACGGTGTAGCGAGTGTAGTCGTCGACAAGTACTAGGAAGTAACGCCCACGACGCGGCCCATGGACAGGGGCGGGGCCCCAGACGTCCATGTGCAGGGTATGCAACGATGCGGTGGTGGGGGGGAACAAGGAGGAGTGAGGGGCACAGCGGAGCCGGCTTTCGACGCAAGGGGTGCACGGAGGCGCTGCCGAGGAGAAGAGTGCATGGAACGACGCAGGGAGACCTAATACAAGATCGTGCTGAGACATGTGACGGAGACGTGTGAGGGCGGGGTGACCTAGGCGGTGGTGCTACAGAAGCGACGTGTGAGTAAGCGACCGACACGAGCAAGCCGCAGCAACCTGGGTAGACGCTGCCACCTAGGGGGGCGTCCCAACCAGGGGGGACGTGGTGTCCAGCGTGAACAGGCCAGACACCGGTGTTAGAATGCAAGAATGAACTAGAATGTGAGAGTACAAGGCAATATAGGCTAGTGTGTTGTACCCTCTAAGGCACAAACCTATATAGTCTACAGTAACATACTAAGTTATACGGCGGAGCTGGCCCTCGACGACGGCTGCTGCTGCTGCTGCTGCAGTGGCAGCTGGTTGAGCGAGGGGACCTGTTGCTGCTACTGGGACAGCTGCTCGGTGGTGCTAGGCCCAGTGCCCTCGTCAGCACCTCCTACGGGCGACCCGGCTCCACCACCTCCGCCACCCCAACCACCCCCACCACCACCACCGCCGCGCCCAGCCTTGGGGCGGCGGCTCTTTCCAGGACAGGTCGGTACTGCAGCAGCCATCTCAGCTACTGCAGCAGAGCCGTCAGAGAAAGTGCACTAAGCGGGCGCACAGCTTTGAAAGATACAGACCGACACTGTACCGCTGGACTGTGCGATAGAGCGCTGGCGAGTCTCTATGGCAAACATGGTGTCAACAAAGTCAGTGAGGGTGAGATATGCGGGGTGGATACGAAGAAAGCGATCGCGGGCAGTAGCAAGGTGGTCAGGGAGGCAGGTGGCAAGCAGGTAGAGGGTATGGTGGGGGGGGAGCTGAACACAGAGAGCTGGGCCTCAGTGCAGGCTGAGCGCTAGGTCGAGTCTAGCGTGCGCAAGTGGGCGGCTAGGTCAGCGACAGTGGGGAAAGACGCGAGATCAGGGAAAAGCAGGGGCAAGATCATGCAGCCTACGGAGGCAGAGGCAGGTGGAATAACGAGCAATGACAGCATTGAGAAACTCCTGTTCAGTCAAGGAACGCTCAGACAGGGGAAGCGCATGACTGATGGCAAGTTGTGCAACAGC